TGGCAACTTCACTGCCTGTCAATGGGGGGTGCATGACGCTGATGAAGGCAATGCTCCTGCTAATGCTGTTACACATCCCCCTAGCCTTCCCCCCACTCAGAACAAGTCATTCACAGTATCCAAAGAGCACACCAATAACCCAACATACACACACTCCTATTATTAGGACGTACTAAGATCATGATCAGCAGTGTTCAGTACCGAAATGAGCAGTGATAGAGAGGACAGGGAAAGGGCTGTAAAAGGCAATAGAAGGGCAGATACTGGGGAGGAAGAATGAGAGGAGAGGGAGCAGCTAAAAAGTGTAGGGGAGACTCAACGAAAAATGGGAGGAAGAGAGATAAATAGATGGTATCCCTGCAACCTCCCCAGTAGACCCTGCACTTGTGCTGTAAATGAATGAATGAGCTTTCCTCAGTCTGAGCTCAGGCTCTGAGCAAAGAGGCTCAGTCTGTGTCCCATGCAGCCCAGAACATTTTGCCTTTAGTAGAATTATACCAGGTCTGAATTCAGCTCCCCTCCCCCCATCTTCTGTCAACACAGGACTCAGAGAGAAGCAGTATCTCTCTGGAATAAAATTCATGTGAATGCTTTGTGTCTCTCCCTTGATTTATTGGCAGAAAGTATGTCCCCAGATGCTGACAGCTTTGAGACAAAGTGGTGTGTGCAAGTCACATAACTCAGGAGCGCGTTTACTATAGAGCATCTCCATGCAGTTCCTTGCAGCAGCACAGGGATTTAGGCAAAACTAGTTTCCCAGATCTCCTACTCCTAACAATATATTTGCTCATATCGATTGAAGTGGCAAAGCTTACAAGAAAGATGAGGTCTTACGGTGTTAAGAGAAGAGCTGGGATCCATTAGCATTATTATTATTGGGAAGCTGCTTTACTGCCTGTTGCCTGTGGAAACATTTAATATGCTGTTTGTATAGGTAGTTAAAGGTCTCTTTTCACAAAACCCATTTTTGTATCTCCAGGGTCCTTGGAAGCTGCTATATGATGTGCTGGGATGATAGTAAGTTGGGGCCAGCAATCAGTTCAGATCAGATAGGGAGCAACCCAAGTTCCAGCCGCATGTCTGAATGCTTCATCTTTAATGTGGCAAAAACATGTGAGTGTAGGTGTGTTTTTAGTTGATAAAATCCACTTTGAGGTCACAATCTATGTGACCTCTGTGCAGGGCCAGAAGAGCATTTAGTCACGATTACCTTGAGCTTGCTTTCAGGGAAGAATTCAAAACACATCCTATAATGCTTGTACCTATGGCCTATGGCAAAAGGCTTCTGGTACTTGGATTCAATAATGTCCACTGCCCTTAGGGAACTGGAAGGCCAGGCCAGCTTCCCAGTAGGGCCACTGGTTAGTCATCAGGGTTTTTTCTTATTGCTCCTGTAGAGAGGTGTCAGAAGCAGCAAAGCAGGACAGCTAAGCTGATGAGAAACACAGGCAGTGAATCAGTGATGACTGTTCTCTAAATCTTCACTTTCCTTTTAGAGATTAAAGAGCTTGAGCTGGGCTAATTCAATCCTGGGAATGTTTAGCAATTATTAGCTATGACATTTCCTAAGTTTAGGTCTCATGGGACCTCCTCCCTCAGGAAAGATCCCAGTGCATTTAAAGCACAGCTCTTCAGTCAGTCCAGCACCTGCTTACCAGGCTGGATGGAAATATACAGTTCCCAATCCACACACGATGAGCAAGACTTTTGGCTTGGACTCCTTGGGAGTAATTATCACTGCTTAAAGATGTGCTTGCATAAAAGCACGTCTGTTCCATATTCCTCAAAGGTCCAGAACTGCTGGGGTTACTCGAGAGTCTGTCAACTGGCCCAGCATTTGAAACAAGAAGACCACGGGGCCATCAGGGGTTCTCATATAAATAGCTGTTTTATCAGAGGGGATAAAAGCTAATGCTTCCAAATGCTAAGGTTGTGCCTCAGCATGACCCTGCGTGAGTCAAGCAGACACTGCTGAATTACACAGATCTGTTGAGGTTAATAAAATCGTTACCAGCAATTGGGTGGCTGGTGGGACACAGAGGCTTTCACTTTGATGCCACTGCTTCCAATCTCCCATAGGGTACCAGTGCCGAAAGTCAGTCTGAATTGGCAGCTGGTGCGTAGACAGCGTGAAGTAAATTGGTGTTCTCGGTAGCGAACAGGTGTGCACAGTAGACAAAACAAGCCATTAGAATTGAGGAGCCTCTCAGTAGCTTCAGCAGAGAGGTGAAGGTATGAATGGGTATAAAGAGCAAAGGGATTCAGGGACAAGTAATGACAATGGGGAGAGATAAGTGATTTCTCTATGGGAAGACCAAAGCCACAGTTTACAAAGTGAATGAAGCAGAAGGGAAATACTAGAAGTAGACAAAGAAATGAGTGACACATAGAGATTAAAGTGGGCAAACCAATTTTAATGGAGAAAAAAGGGATATCCAGTGAATGTAAAAGGCAACCATTTATAAAGGGATAGCAGGAAGTGCCATTACACAACATGTTGGACTATGGAACTCACTACCACAATGTATCTTGAGGCCAAGAGCTTTGTATGAGTCAAGAAAGTCCTAGACATTTATTTTAGCAAAAATGACATCTGGTTATATCCCATAGACTCTCTACGAGGCATACAGTCTTCTGCTCCAGATATTAACCCACTCCAAAATTGGTTGGTGGTAAGAAGGAGCTTCCCCATAATGGTCTCCCGTGAGTTTCTTGTGCCTTTGTCTGCACCAAATGGTACTGGCTATTTTTGTAGTACTTGCTGTTTTCAAAGACAGGATATTGGACTGGATGGATCATTGACCTGACTTAGTATGGCAATTCCTTATATACCTCACAGGCCCTAGAAATAGTTCTTTCAGAACAGGGTTGAATACATTTGTCAGGGAAAGATAAGGGAAGCCTATAGTGCTGTGCTGGTCTCTGGAGAAAGGACTTCTGTTTCCAAAGCTTGCTGAAGTCAGTGGTCTTTGGAACAGGCCCCTAACGCTCTTCTATCTGGCATCTTTTGCCAGCAGTAGAATGTACTTTGAAGGAGAAAATAAAATAATTGTAAGTTTTTCTCTGTAACAAGCTCTTTATAGCACAGGCAACAGGCACTCTCTTTGTCCCATGAGTTATAACCTGCAGAAATGCAAATGGCATTTTTCTTCCATAGCAAAGTCAGAAAGCATTTTTTGCCTGCTGTAAAAATGGTTAATTGTGACTTTCTGCTCGTTTAATGCTAAGAGGGAAAAACAGATTGTGAATGTTGCTGCCTTTTAGAGAAGAATTCTGTTTTCCAGGCAGATCATTAGCAACATGAAATGTTATTTAATGATCATTAGAAAGGTGGGAATCATGCTGGGTTGAATGGCTATTTCTGTCAGGCTCTCTCTGAGCAAAAGACTCCCTGGGAGGCAGAAGGGTATTATCTGGTTCATACGTTTCCTAGAACATTGGAGCCCTGCTTACTGGTAAAAATGCTTCCGTTCTTCAAAAGTCTGGGTTTCAACTAGAAGTGAAATCCTTTGGCACAAGGGCTGCTTCTGTTCTGTGGCTCATTGGCATGACAGCCCAGCTTGGCCAAGCTCTGATGAACAAGTATATAGGGAATCAAACATTGTGGTAACATCAAGAGATGACAGCCGGGCTTGGGACCTGCTTTGGCTAAGCACTGTATTAATGTATGGTAAAAGATGGTTCTGAAGTTTCATCCCAATCTCCTTGTGTGCTGCATCCTTTTCTCCCACCCTATGTCTATCTTGGCTATTTTGTAATACCTTTGTAATGCACCTCTACACAGCTTAGCACGACAAGATCCCCAAATTGAGCATGCCCTTGAGGCATACGGTAATAGCCATTTTTTATTTATGAAAGGCCGTCTGAAAGGTGATAATAACTGCTTTTCATCTTCAGGAAAATAAAACACTTGAATCTCTCCTCCCCATAAAAAGAGCATGACACTATTTGATTCTGCCATTATTGGCTATAAAACACTTTCTACTTTTATTTTCACATGCCATTGATACAACATTATATAGATACAGCAGAGGGAAATCCAGCTTTTTGATTGTAGTCGTGTGAGCAGAAATCCAGTGACATCCAAACCACAAACGAACATAAAACAGTGAACCGGGGGGGAAGGGGAGGGTGCAGTGACATGGTCCCTGCACAGTGACTCTCCACCACCACTCACATCCCCCACGCCAGTGAGCTGTCCACCACAGCCCCTTTTTCAAAATCCTACATCTATTCTTGAATTTACAGGTAGGAAATATCCCCATGGCCCAAAGCCTGTTTTCCTATTATACTTGTCAGAGGGATTCTGAAGCTGCATTATCTCTTGCGAATGTCCAGGAGTGAACTGCAGTGATTACTTTAGCATTTCTGGCACAGTTCATCTTAGGAGAATTTATTTGCATGGGACACCAGTGTGTTACCATCAGGCTGTGAAGTCTCAAATGGTGGAGCGTGCGAGATTCTCCACCAATGCTATTTTTATTACTTAGTTCCTACAGCTTCTTTCAGCGCTTGCAGTTACAATGGATGTTGTTTGCAGAAAGGAGAGCTTGTTCCATTTGGGCTTTATCAGCACAGGGTGAGCAGCTGCAAGTGGTCAAAGTACTGCACAATGGCTAATGTACCAGACCTGCATGTTGGCTGCAGCGTCCTGAGATGGAGCTGCAGGAGGAGACCATCTGGCTGGCATGTTACCAGAAAGCTTTTAACATGAGAGAGGGCTGTGCAACATGTTGTGTCCAGTTGTCCCTAGTAGAGATAATTTGTCTTTTTTTTCCTGGCAAGTTCATTTGAAGTTAAATATGTCTTTTTCTCAGCATTTCCCTTCTTTTTTCTTTCCTTTCTGTATTTGGGATGGTTCTGGTGGTGATGAGATCACTTGATTTCTTCCCCACCTTTAAAATATCGGATTCAGAAAAGCACCTGAAGAGTCATCAGATGTGTTTGTTACGCCTCTTAAGAAGGGTGAATGCATTCATTGGTGCTTTTCCTGAAATGGGCTATAGGGAAGTCTTCTCACCAGGGACAGCATTTAGAGACGGAGGCTGGCAGGACTCCAGTGGGGTTTCACACTTGCTTATAGGGCCGGAGCCCCTCTGCCCCCACTTGCCCATTGCCGGGTTGCGGCTTGGCTCTTTTCTTGATGAGTCCATGGAGTTCTGGAAAGAGAGCAACTCTGGGACAGAAGAAGGTGAGGTCCCTTCAGAGAGGGAGAAGTTAAAGAGAGAGACCATCCTTTGGTGGTATTTGGTTTTCATTTCCTTTGCTGACCTGTAGAGATTCCCGACAAAGCAATAGCATATGGGGTTGAGGCTGGAGTTGGTGAGTCCGAGCCACTGAGCAAAAGGTCTGAGCTGCAAGACCCAGGGAGATGGAGTCACGTCCTGCAGTGACTTGGGGATGTTGAAATCAATCCAGATGTCCATCATGTAGACAGGCAGCCAGGAGATGGCGAACAGCAGGACCAAGGCCACAACCATCTGGGCAACCTTCTTGCGGATCTTCAGCCTGGAGGCTGGCAGGGATCGGTTCAGGGCATTGCACTCCTTCAGCTGGCCGGTGCGGCTCCACAGCCGGCGCACGGTCAGAAAGCAGATGACCATGTTGAACAGCACGGGCAGGCAATAGAGGGCACAGAAGAGCAGGAAGTTATAGGCTTGCTTGAGTCTCTCCTGGGGCCATATCTCCCTGCAGATGGGGACCACCAGCGGCAGTCCCTCCACCACCCCAATCTCATCCCTTTTGTTCATGAATATGAGAGGCATGCAGATCCCAGAGGACAGGACCCACACCACCAGGATGGTGCTGAGGATCTTCCTCTGGGTGAAGAATGACCTGGCATTGAGAGGGTTGTGAACGCTGTAGTACCTGTTCACGCTGATGACGGTGAGGCTGAGCACGCTGGCTGAGACGGACACCGCCTGGATGAAGGGCACAGCCCTGCACAGGAAGTCTCCATACACCCAGGCCTTATATATCAAGTTCCCCACGGTGATGGGCATGCAGACACACACCACCATCAGGTCGCAGATGGCCAGGTTGATCAGCAGGCTCCTGGTGGCACTCAGGCTGGACATCCTGCTGCTGCGCTTCCTGGTGAGCACCTTGATGGACATGACGTTCCCAACGAATCCCACCACGAACGAGAGCAAGTACATGATGGTGAGGCTGATGGTGACAGGCTCCTTCACAAAGAGGAAGAGCATCTTCTCCAGCTCCTCCCAGTCCAGCTCCTGGCTCCCATTCCAGATTCCCGGCAGGGACTGGTTCTCCTCTCTTGGGACCTTCATCAAGCTAAGGCGCATCTCCAGGAGAGGGATGGAGGAATTCGAATTCATTGCCGCTCCCTACAAATCACACAGAAGCAGCCGGAGAAACAGCAAGTCCTGGGTTAAACCGGGAAGCAGCTTTCCTGCCACGCTACCCTGAGCACCTCTGGCATGTTTAGCTGGAACCAGCCAAGCCTGGGAAAGAGGGTTCAGAAAGGAGGGTCAGAACGTTCCAGGGTAAATATTTCCCTTTGCTGATTGTTCAGTCAATACGCACACGGCCGTGGATGCGGCCAGAAATGGGTGCCCAGCAAGTGGCCTAGCCCTGCCCTGAAACCCTTAGGGACGGAAGAATCCCCCATCTGCTGTGTCCAGACCCCCGAGGAAGGGGCGGGGGCCTTTCCTGGCTTGTCCGGGAATGACATATGGGAATGACCCCCTCAGGGGAGGCTTTTGCCTCCCTGGGCCCAGCCTGGCTTGCGCTCTCGCCTGGGCAGTGCCTGGGAGAGGCAGAGCAGAGGCCGCAGGCTGCCCGCACGGGGTGACGCTTGCCTGCGGAGGTCTGGGGGGGACTCCCCATCCCCGCAGGAGCCCGAGCGCCCGGTCCAAGGAGCAAGGAGAGCCCAGCCGCACACGTGTTTGTGTGTGTGGGTGCGGGCATGTGCATGTGGATGTGTGAGGGTGTGGGTATGTGCGAGTGGGTGTGTGTGTGAGTAGGTGCGTGTGAGAATCGGTGGGTCTGTGACTGTGTGTGCGCGTGGGTGCATGTGTGAGTGGGTGTGTGTGTGTGAGTAGGTGCGTGTGAGAATCGGTGGGTCTGTGACTGTGTGTGCGCGTGGGTGCATGTGTGAGTGGGTGTGTGTGTGTGAGTAGGTGCGTGTGAGAATCGGTGGGTCTGTGTGACTGTGTGTGTGCCTGGGTGCATGTGTGAGTGTGTGAGTGTGCGCGAGTAGGTGCGGGTATGAGTGGATGTTTGCGGGTGTGAGTGTGTGGGTGTGGGTGTGAGTGAGTGTGCACGGGGGCTCGGTCCGGGTCTCCGCTGGAGGCGGCGGGCAGTGCCCTCTCCCGCGAGCCGCCCGAGGCGGGACCCGGCGGTGCTGAGCGGACAGCTCC